TGTTCGTGTGTGCGTGTCCGATGGAGTAGGTCCTTGTCTGTCGAAGGGTGTATGGTTGGTGTTGACGTTGTGGTGCAAGATGTGGTTGTTGCAGGTGTGGTGGGGAGGTTTGGTGGTGGATGTCCCATGCTAGTAGGGCTTGTTTAACAAGGAGTCGTGAGCTAAGGGTGGGGAGCTTTGCGTGATGGAGGAGGGAGCTGTGGTGAACTGGTGCAAAGAGGGGAATCCGAAGGCAGATGCGTATAGCACGGCGTTGAATTCTCTCCAGTGTGTCCCGCTGTTGCTGTGTGGTGTTGGAGAGGGCAAGGCTGCCATATTCGAGAACGGGTCGGATGTAGGTTGTGTATATTAACAATAGGCTGGAAGCGTTCATTGTGCCACGTGTCTTGTGGAGTTGTTGTAGTAGTTTTTTGGCTTTGTTGGTGGTTTCTATGATGTGTTGGGTCCATCGCAAATCGTCTTGGAGTGTAACACCAAGGTGCCTATGTTGGTGGACCTGCTGCAGCCGAGTCGAGTGGAGCGTGATGTGGATGGTGTGTTATTAATAGTATTATTAATTAAATTAATTGTGATATTAAAATTATTATCTCGACGTAGGTTATTAATAATAATAAATATTACACATTACTGGAGGCAAAGAGAAGCAAATCTCGATGAAGAATTGGCAGTTATTAGAACACGAGCTTCATGTTGGCCTTGAAATCATTTAGCGTTCAAGACGATTTTGCTGATAGAGGCAGGGCCAGCCAGAGAGATTAGGCCTCGAAAAACGGAAATCTGGTATAAGCTGATGTTCGGGTTTTAGGCAAAGTGCAGGGATTTCTGCAGTCAAGCAAAGATAAATAGGATGGCTGGGATATCTTTTCAGGATTCGTGGCTGCCCATAATAACAATTTAATTCGGCTCGGAAGGCAAATATCGATACTCTGCGGGGTGCTTCCTGAAATTGGCCCTATAGATTTTCTTCATTTATTCAAGAAGTACAGCGAGCAATGTGGTTAATACGCTCAACATTAGATAGTCGGCATTGAATCAATGTGAAGTACTGTACCTAGGAGCACGGTTTACTGAATCCAATATTGGCTGACGTGTGTGGTGGACCAAACATTCCCGTATGTCACGTGATTGTCGCCTTGGAGTTGACCCATGACAGATCAAACAGCGTCGTCAAGTGACGACGGGCAGGAACGGATTCCACTGCCCGTCGTCATTTGACAACGGTCAGGAACGGATTCCACTGCCCGGCGCCGGTATACCTTCGGGCAGTAGTCACTGGACTGACTCTCTACTTCAAGGTCTTTCATTCGTTACTAATAAAATAACTAAAGCAGAAGAGCGACTGTTTGCAACCACAACTGTCATCATGGCGCTCCAACATTTGATCTGGAACTGGGAGAAAATAAGCCCCTTTGTTGAACGATATTGGCGATCTGGAAGAGCCCCTCCGAAAAGTTGAGGAAGAGAAACTTTTATTGCGGTGTCGCTCGCGAAGGAGATCTTGGACGAGCCGGGTGAGCCTCAACCAAAGCGTGCAATGCTAAGCAACCTGCAGGATCCGCGCAATTTGCCAATGTTTCCGATCAAGACGTGGGAAAAATCCGTAGGAACAGAACAGCCAGAATGCCCGGTGCCCAGTCGACAATGTCAATAGCACCGCGAGAAAAAAAACGCACTATGGACTACTACAAAAAACTGTACCAGAAAACAATCACAAAACACAATGCAGGTGTGTCTGTCATGTATCTCTTAATTTGGCTTGGGTGCACACGGGAAACGCGTTCCAGTCACTCATACTCGGCAAGTCCCGCTGTTCATCCAGCCCTTGCCGCTATCGCGGTGCGGGCTGGATTCCGCGGAACTGCCCTCGTACTCGTGCAGGAACCTGTACTTACAGTCAAACATAATGGCCGTAAAGATTTCATTCAAATTTTCCAGAGTAACACACAGATAGTAATGGGAAGAGTTTGCAAAGTTATAACCCCCTTCATCTACCAGAAGCGTACATTGTCAAGTACTATCAATGTCGATGTGGGGTTAAATATTATACGTATTACTGCCATCAAGTAAATTGAAACTGCTTCATGGATTCCCTTTAGATTTGATAAAGATGTAAAAATGTTCCTCTAATAATTATTGATGAAAAGGTATCTGGCAAGTTTCATGTTTCTGTTGCCACCAAAACGTACTTTTTGAGTCAATTATAGAAGCTATTTTTGTCAAAAACCCTACCGAAAAAGCTGAAAACATGTTTTTACCGGGGAGGTTCGAACCTGTGCGATGCAAAAAGTAATAATATTTCATCATACGTTTACTCCAAACCTGCGCAGAAGGATGATCAAAGGACTAGTTTTCGATTTAGGTACGAGCCACCTTAGGCTGCGTTTACAGGACAACGATTGAAAACGATTTGTGTTTATATGACAACGAAATATGTTCCCTTTTCTTCTCCTCCCCTTCTCCCTTCCTCGCCGTTGTTGTCTTTGTATTCGCCGGTGTTCTCACTGTGCTATGAGATGCTGTAATAAATAAATTAAATTAAAAAAAATACTACCTACACGGAACGACATCGTTGCGTTTACTACTATCGTTTACACGACTACGCCCAAAAACGATACCTAAACGGAACGAAATGGAAACGTGCTTCAACATGTTTTGAAACGTTTAGAAAACGTTTTCTTTCTCGTATAAACGATGAACGCCGGGGAGGTCTACAATACCTCCCTGGTATTGTACTACTCTCTGGTGAAAACAGTGAAAACGATTGGAAACGGAGCTCGGTCATGGAACCATTCCGCGCTGGAGTATATTTCGCGGAAATACCCAACCCTTGCGACCACCAGCACGTGCCAACTTCATCTAACGTCACTTCCCCCCCTTGCGCTAAGCCAGCACTTGCTAACTCAAGGCTGATCGCCCGTTTTCCGCTTTCGTGTAAACGGTTCAAATCGATCTGTCGTTCTCGTGTAAACGGTTTGAAAACGGTTCGAGGCCAGCCCGTTTTCGATCTGTTTCGTTTCGTTTCGTTTCATTTCGTCTCAGTGTAAACGCAGCCTTAAAGAGGCCAAAGAGGCACTATATGGTCGCATTGGTAAAGCTTGGGAATGTCGACCAAACATCGTTCTTCATCACCAAAAAATTCAAACAACTTAGATCTCCATATGCAGAGAATTTGAATACTAATCACACGTGACGTCATCAAAACCATCAAAAGAGGAGACAAACTTGGCCCTCCTTGGTTTCATATATCGACTTTTTGGGTATAGTTTTCGCGATTCCCCATTCTTTGGGGGCCATATAAGGCCCCCATGAAGAGAACACACCACCGAAAAAGTTCCCGGAGTGCCCCTTTAATCCCCGTAGCTATGCAAAAGACGTTACTTCAGTAACGTCTGGCGCTAGCCAGAGTCCACACAGCTTAATTTCGTGTTTTCGTGTCATCAGCATGCCTGGCGCTATCCCGTACCTGTCCCGTACCGTATCCTCAAGGTGTGTGTTTGTACAATTGTTTGTGCCGTCCGCATCTCGCGCATGCCTGGCGCATGCCTGGCGCTTTCCCGTACCTGCCCCGTACCGTACCCTCTAGGTGTGTGTTTGTTTGTGGCTTCGGCATGCCTGGCGCTGTCTCGTACCTATCTCGTACCTATCCCGTACCTATCCCGTACCCTACCATAAACGACAGCTAGCTGGCCACAATATTCAAATAGGACTTTTAAATGCAAGATTATAACGTGAAGCAACTTGGAAGAATGAGGCTTCGTTTACACGACAACGATTGAAAACGATTTGCATTTACACGACAACGACGTACGATCTAAGCAGAACTAGATCGTTGCGTTTACTACTATCGTGACAACGCTCGAAAACGATACCTAAACCGAGCGAAATGGAAACGCACTTCAAAGTGATTTGAAACGTTTGCAAAACGTTTTAAATCGTTTTCGGTCTCATGTAAATGTGGAAAAACAGTGAACACGATTGGAAACTAGGCCTTTGCGGATAATGCCGCCAGAAAAACAGGCGGAATTCGGTACTGTTTCTGGTACGTTTCATTCATGTTTGGTATGTGGATGAAGAAATGAAGCAGAATTCGAGGAATTGCCCGTCATAATGTTTGTACGGTTCTGCCAATTTCACTGCTTTTCGAGCAGTGTGCCAGAATGTGCCACCTTTTCGAGTATTTACGCCAAAGCATATTGGAAACGGGGAGTGGTCATGGAAATCGTTCCGCGCCGGACTGTATTTGGCGGGAAATACCCAACCCTTGCGACCGCCAGCACGTACCAACTCCAACTAAAGTGTTACTTCCGGCCCTTGCGCCTCGCCAGCTAGTACTAACTCCAGCTTGGTCGCCCGTTTTCCGTTTTCGTGTAAACGGTTCAAAGCCATTTGCTGTTCTCGGTTCGAAAATATTCGAAGCCAGCCCGTTTTCAGTCCGTTTCGTTTCGTCCCCGTGTAAACGCAGGCGGCGTTTATTTGCATGTATGCTAACTGTATCCGGGGAATGCATGCAGTGAAGGGCGATAGTGCGGGTTCGAATCCTAGGTCTTTAAAAAGATCGGAGAAATGAAAAATTTGTAACATCTCTATGCTTTTTTGCCTAGGTCATCAATGTGGTAGACGGTGTCGTGTTACCCTCGAATGTAAAAAGAAAGTTTATCTCTTTCACTCAGGGCCGTACGCTATGCTTTTTTGCCTAGCCCATTATGAATGTTGTTCGAAGAGATAGAAACTGTTTGTATTATAATGATGTAGCCGATCCGTTCGTTGTGGTGTGGTTGGGATTTGTAGCCATTATAATTTTTCTGGTTTTAGAGTTCGTATGGCAGGATCCGTTCTGTAATTCAAAGCGAGCCGTCATGGTCGACCTAGAACACTATTTACGTACACAAGCCCGGAGAGCAAAAGTCTCTCTGTCCCGTAACCGGCCACATACGAACTAAATACAAAGGCGAATGAAAGCGGCAGCGCCGGACATCAATACGGTGTTGTATGGTGTAAGGATGTCGTATAGCATGTCGTACAACAGTACGATGAAATTGTGGGAGAAACCTACCATCACTTTAATGCTTGGGAACGATGAACATTTCACCAGTGTTATTGTGAGTGATAGTCAGGCCAAGTTTCCGAGGATCAGTAGCGAGAGCTATCCCGAGCATTATGTTGGCATTACGAAAGCATAGACAGGATGCGTATTACAGGAGACCAAAGTTGCTGAAGACTAGTAGTCATTGATGATAACGTCCAGAAAAACGAAATCTGCAGCATCTTCTACTGTCGGACAGGATTCGTACTACAGGAGACTGTAAAGTTATGTAATGTGCTCCACAGGCAACCGTGCATTCGGCTTTGGTGTGAGTTGCCAGTATGATGCAAGCCAGATATGGATTGATCGAAGAAGGATAGATTTATCATCACTGTGGATAAGAGTCATACTGTAGCTCAGTTGGTTAGAGCATTGCTCGCGAATAGCAAGGTCCCTGGTTCGAGTCCCGGTGGTGTGACTGATGATTTTTTCTTTCTTTCATATCTGGCTTGCAAGTGTTGAGTTTCGGAGATAAAGGTGCAGTACGTGGCATGTGGCCTCTGGTTTCCTAATATCCCGCAGTATGAGCAGGAAACGATGTACACCTATCAACCCAGAAAATCACCTTCCTGGAGAAGGTATCGCATTAAATATATAATTGATTTGCTTTTCGAGATTTGTGGCTTGGTTGCACGGTATCAAGAAGCAGTTATCAACTATGTGGAAGCCAAGATGTCAAAGCTGGAGGACTGGTTACCCCCAAGAAGGTTGCAAAGCTCGCACGCAATCAGTCAGTGCTCACCTTCCTAATAATGAGAAGACTATGCACATCTAAGAGGGACGATTACTTCACAGCTATCACAGAGCGCGAGGCCGTAATGAGGCGTTTACCGCAGTCCAGACACCCCAGTCGTCACGATCTATACCACGGTTTGGGAAACTTTCTCCTTTCGTCATCACAAGAACAGCAAAATCAGAAGGAGTGGAAGAAAGTAGAATTTGTAGACGCAATGTTGAAATATGGCAATGAGCTTACTGGCAATAATGCCGCTTAGAATGGAAGCCCGGGGAGTTATTAGATATAACGTTAGCAGCTCATTTCGATTATGAACTGTCCATCAAAATAAGAAAAGTGATCGTCGTTCTCATGTCACACCAACTCAATAATAATGGAAACGATTATGGAATTGTATTCAAGTTGCAATTTCCGAACTTACTGTTTTTCATCAGTGGATAGTTTCATAACTGAAGGGAATTCATCAACCAACCCAGATTATATAGCAGAAAAAAATCAATAGCGAATGCTATCTGTTTATACTGTTCTCTGTTGGTCCCATCTCTCCCTATTACCTTTATGGTTAGTATTCTCTGAACCTCTGTCCCTCTCCCTCTCTCTCTCTCTCGTTATGACATCTGGTTATCTTTTGATACACTTTTTGCTTGGACATAACACTCCGCATTAAATTTAGTGTCTTTATTTTTTATGTACCGTGCTTTTGATGTCTTCCGTTTTTGCCTTTTGCTGCTTTTTTTGGCAAAACGACGTACTGGTCAATGTACCGCCTGGAGCCTCACCCGCACTGCTGTCGCCTGTCACTATAATGATTACCATTCAATGTCCCCATATCGTACCCCGAAATCGTGCCCCGAAATCGTACCCCCAATTATGTCTGTCTCCTTTATCTGTCTCTGTCTCCGTCTCTCTTTTATCTGTCTCTTCCAACTCTTTTTCTTTGGCAGCTTTCATGGTGGTTTTGTGCGTGCTTTTCAAAAAGGCATAGTCTAATTCTATGGGAGAAACCCTTTATTTCTTCAAGTGTGAGATAACAAGCAGTAAATAAGATGGACATGTCGATCTCCCTTGTAAGTTTACCATAAATGCGGATGTGTGAAAGAGTTTCATGGGGAACCCCACGAAAAAAAAAAATTTCAGTCGAATGGCCTTGGTCCGAAGTCTCTACGACAAAGCGTTCTTGAGATATTTCACTTTGAATTTGAAAAAAGGGTGCAGCGCCGTGACGTCATGCGGCCATCCCGGACTGGCTACGTCATTGTGGCACAGTCGCAATCTCGGAGCACTATTTTAGTATGCAATTTCAAGGAAAGATGAGGTATTCCGAACAATGGCAAGTATTCATCCAAAATGGCGGATAGGGATTTTCCCTACTCTGGACCGTTACTGAGGGGACACTGGGTCAGCGCAGCAGCAGCGAAGAGCGAAAAAACAACAGCGACTAAATGGTTGCTGCATTTTTTGAAGAACGAAGTGGCGTTTGGTTTGGCCAGTTCATGTCGAGTCTTGACATCTAGTGTCAAGCAAGGCGATGTCGGTGTCCAGTAATCTGGAAATCGCCTAGTTAGAACAATGTGTATGTACGGTGCCAACGTGATGAGAACATTACGTTAGAAGGAGAAATAATTATAACGCCACGGCGGAGCTGGACCATGACTCACAACACGCGGTGGTCATAACAAAATGGAAAGTGAACCTTTTTTCAAAAAATCTCCTTTCCTTTCCTTTCGTCCAGCGTTTGTTTTACTTCCGTTTCTGACTGTACAATGTCACTCAACTCCTCATCTCCGTCGACTGGTACGAGAAAATATAACTGGCTATATCGCGGACAAAGTCAAGTGCCTGAGCTGCCTCAGCAAACGTAAAAATGACTTGATTCGAGCGGTAAGTATCCTCTATCCTCTACCGGGCTACTTCTCATCCAGTTGACTTCTTATTATGACTTTGTACGTTATAATTTTGTTGAGCTCCGGTTTTCCCCTTCATTCTAACTCAAGTGCAGTTTAGCGTGTATTGGCTTGTGATTTCCTTTCTTCTGTTTGCTTGGCATTTTATCGCTCCACAGGTACCCCCGGTCTCAGGTGCTCTCACATTTGTGCAATTGTTGATTTTGGTCCTGAATTGTCCTCCCTGTTGCCTTGCTACCGTCCTCCTCCTTCCTCCACCTTTTTTTCTTTTCTTAACCCTTTAAGAGCCACAGGAAATTTTCAAAATTCTGCATTTTTTGGTGTTCTTTGGATCATAGCTTCAGTTCTACTCACTCAATCCTCACAATCTAGGGCTTCCTGGAAAGGTCTCCGCGAGAGGAAGAGAATGAGGTCGATCATGATAGCCAGCACACCGTCTATCCAGCGCTAGATCGCAGCGACAGCACGAAAAATGCCCCAAATGCGTCCAATTGCGTCCTGCTCCAGATATTTCATTTTACTCGATCGTGGAGTTCCAATTTTTTCGCTGTGTACTCTTGACAATATCAACAGTGAAACCTGTGCAAATTCGAGTAAGCCAGCTTGACGAAAAGTCTCAAAATTCTCAATACTAAAGTCGCACTGCGCGCTTTTGAAATTGCCGCGATCGCGGCTCAACTTACGAGTGATTTATCTCAGGAGCCGTTGCTCGCAGCGCTTCGCGGATTGTTTCTCCCGACAGGTGAGAGATTTCTCTTCGCCCTGGATATTTCGATCACTTGATTTGAGCGAGATTGGACTGAGTTACGATCTTTTGAAGTTTTGCATTTGAATGCGTCGTTTACGACGCATTCAAGTATGGGGCGGCTCTTAAAGGGTTAATTGGCCTCATTATGGCATTCGCTTCCATGTAATTGGGCTTGTAGCCCGTGTGTACTTGCGAATTCAAATAAAAATATACATACATACATACCTTGTGGTACATTGCGAACTTTCATCTGATACGTTTCTTGTGTTTGTATCTTTGTGTTGATGCAGGGCATGGAGCTTCATGAAACTAAACACGCCAAGGTGCTAGTTCTGGTGATATCTCCATCAGGTGTTGAGCACCTATATAGCAGCAGTCCGGTAGACGGCTTTTTCCCAGCCCTTAAAAAATCGAATTCCCCACCTCCTGCCCCTACCACTCCCACTCCACCAACTCCCACCTCACTAACTCCCACCTTACCATGCACTAAGCTTTACTCCAATCGCATGCATCTGTGCATAGCACCCAAACTCTTACCAGTAAAAATTGATTCACCATCATGTACAAATATTAACACGAGTTGATTCACCATGTACATATTAATACCGGTATATTCTGATTTTGTTCTAGAATGTGGCAAGTGAGAATACCATATGCCATATCGTCAAAGGCAAACATTTGGAGTTGAAACGAGGGATTCTTAGTAAAAAACATAGTTTATCATTGTTGATGAAGATAATAAACGAAGGTGCTCAAATTTATGACAAAATCACCGGAAGTGGGGGCACAATCAAACGACACAACATAGCGGCGTAGCAGCTCATCCATGCATCCATCTGTGAAGCGACTAAGTTCATCATAAGTGCGGTGGTGGTCCTTGGCCTTGTGGGCCCAGTCCAGGTGATGTGGCGAAGTGTAGCCTTGACTGAAACAAAACTCTTTGTACACAAAAGGCCAAAATAAATATTAATAGTCTTGGCAATGGCCTGGATTAAGTTCAGCTCCCAGTAAAGGCCTCCACTTAGCGACACAACCCAGTCGAACTCAACTGCAGGGATGCTACCCAGCACATTCAAATCTCCACTCGCGACCTTGCCCTGTACATGAGTGCTTACACGGCTACGCAACGATGCTAGGTAAGGGTTTCCACAAAATTCAAGAAAAAATCTCAAAATACAAATTCAAAATTCAAAAAAATTAGGCAAATTTCAATGATAGAATTAAAAAAAATCGCAAAATTTAAAAAAAATTCAGCCAATCACTCTGGTTGCGCCGAAACTTCTGGATATCACCATGGCAACACCATGGTAACGCAAAATGGTGGCCGAAGAAAAATGGTTGTGGTCTATCTTCTGTCAATCTGCTTTCCAGTTCCGGTGATTGATGAATAATTATTATGATTATTTTTTTGATCCAAGGTTTCTCCACACAGGTCGATGGGACGATGGCATCCAACAGCTTACTGGAAACCCAAAACCAACCATGCAAGTGGGTAATGTATGGCAAAATTCAACAAAAGGGACTCTAAATTCATAAAAAATCAAAAAATCAAAAAATCGCCAAAATTCAGAAAATATTCAGAAATTTTTGTGGAAACCCCTAATGCTAGGCTGCCAGACACATTCAAAGAGTGCTGCCTACAGTAGCCCACCAACAACTCCTTGCTCATGCTACCTACATCTAAAATGCCCGCGGAATGGTACGCTGCTTTCCTGGCCTCGTCTCTACTTTGAGCAATGGCAGTACGCATCAGTGAATATGGAAGGCCATCACAGACAATGGTAGGCCACTCTCTACAGCCCTGCTCACCAACACATTGTTTCACACCTCCACTTGTCCCAATTTCCCTCAGGAGAACACGCACTGCGTCATGTGAATTGGGGTTCACAAAGGCAGGCTCAAGCAATCCTACATTTGCCGGAGGAACAGGAGGAGAATCCAACTGCACTGAGCGTGTTGCCCTTACCCGCCACTGTCTGCTACATTGCGATACACAAAGTGCGATCCTGCACCCACTGTCAGGAAAGACGGAAGACGGAGAACTTCAGTGGACACTCGAGAAAGACCGGCTGCTTCTGCGATAGTAGGCCTGATGTTTGTGACTGCACACTCTGAATTGCTACATTTGGTGCATGCTACATTTTGCTACCCCTGCGGATGACTGCACTGAAAGTGGCGTCGTCATGCCACACACAAAAGCCTCTACTACGGGATTATAGGAGCGGGAAGTGATGCGCCCAGCGAGGATGCCCAGCAATGACTCCACTTTCCTACTCTCCTTTGAGTGGCTAATGGCGTCTAGAGTTTCCGCTCACAGAAACTTTTTCTCTATCTTACATATCTCATTAACTACCTTTACCCTACCCTGCTCTGTCGCAAAGAGGCTCATCTAAACATTCCCTTGACTTCAGCAACACGTTCTCTTCCCGCAACCCCTCAACCTCCTTCTGCAACTTCTCCACTAAATCGCTTAGTTCCTCACAGTCCCTTCACCCTACTACTAATGCCTCACAGTCCCCATGAGGGGCGTAGCACCCGCTACGACTGGTACGACCATGGCCGTACCACTTTTCGAAACGTGTGGTCCGTCCGGAACGTGCAAAACCGTAAAAAATTAGGATCAGTCGATGCATATGCGCATCAGACTTTGACCATTTTCTAGACTCGTACTCGTAGATCTGCCATGCATCTGTGCATGTCCATGCACGTCTCTTCTGACCGTGAAATAATTCTATGACTTTATAAACTATGCCAGAAGTGTGCCTGAAGTTCCCAGAACGCAGGATTTTGTGTCTTTTTTACAAAATTTTCCAGTGGGACGTCCCCCCCCGGACCCCCCCCTCCAAAACGGACTTCGGCCGCGCCCACCTTCGGTCCTACCACTTCCAAAAACCCTCCTACGCCCCTGCACACCCTACAGGTTGGTTTTCTGGGAGTGGGCTAGGTGGGGCGGGTACCTCACTTGGAGTTGGAACCTTGAGCGAGTCTGCGGAGCTGAGACATAATTTTCCTGACTCGGATCTTGGCCAAAGGTTCTCAGTTAGCCAAGCGACCGTTTCGCGCGTATTATCAACCTGGTTGGCTTGTCTCTATCATTATGTTCAAGGAGATTAACATCTGGCCATCCCGACATCTAGTTGATAAATACATGCCAGATGTTTTCAAGGAGAAATTCCCGACAACACGCATCATCAATCGACGCAACAGAATTTCCCTTGAGAAAAACCAGCGAATCCAGATGTACAGGCAGCCACATGGTCCAACTACAAGAATCGCAACACACTAAAGCTGCTTGTTGGTGTGAGCCCCAATAGGGTAATTACATTTTTGTCCCCGAATTATGGTGGCCGCATATCTGATAAGGAGCTAACGAAGAGATCCGACCTCCTAAACACGTTACAGTCAGGTGATGCCATTATGGCAGACAGGGGATTCGACATTGCTGACCTGATGCCAAAAGGCACACACGTCAACATCCCTACCTGCTAGAGCACAAAGAGGTGATTGAAATGCGGCGCATTGCAAGTGTCAGGATACATGTTGAGCGAGCTATTGAATGCATAAAGAACTTCGCCATCACCAAGCACTTCTCTTCCAGCCTGGCACCAATGGCCGAGCACATCATATTCGTGTGTGCCTTTTTAACATCTCCATTCTCACCACTAGTACCTTCGCCACAGGAGCAGCAACGGCAACAACAGCAGGAGCAACACAACACATTCAGAAAGAACCACAGTCTCAGGCAGAGCCGCCACCAGCACAGCAGCCGCAGCCAGCACAGCAGCCACAGCCAGCACAGCAGCCGCAGCCAGCACAGCAGCCGCAGCCAGCACACCAGCCAGCACACCAGCCGCAGCCAGCACAGCAGCCGCAGCCAGCACAGCAGCCGCAGCCAGCACAGCAGCCACAGCCAGCACAGCAGCTGCAGCCAGCACAGCAGCTGCAGCCAGCACAGCAGCCAGCAAAGCAGCCAGCACAGCAGCCGCAGCCAGCATAGCAGCCGCTGCCAGCACAGCAGCCGCAGCCAGCACAGCAGCCGCAGCCAGCACAGCAGCCGCAGCCAGCACAGCAACCACAGCGAGCACAGCAGCCGCAGCCAGCACAGAAGCCGCAGCCAGCACAGCAGCCGCAGCCAGCACAGCAGCCGCAGCCAGCACAGCAGCCGCAGCCAGCACAGCAGCCAGCACAGCAGCCGCAGCCAGCACAGCAGCCGCAGCCAGCACAGCAGCCGCAGCCAGCACAGCAGCCGCAGCCAGCACAGCAGTCGCAGCCAGCACAGCAGCCAGCACAGCAGCCGCAGCCAGCACAGCAGCCGCAGCCAGCACAGCAGCCGCAGCCAGCACAGCAGTCGCAGCCAGCACAGCAGCCAGCACAGCAGCCGCAGCCAGCACAGCAGCCGCAGCCGGCACAGCAGCCGCAGCCAGCACAGCAGCCACAGCCAGCACAGCAGCCAGCACAGAAGCCGCAGCCAGCACAGCAACCGCAGCCAGCAGCCAGCACAGCAGCCGAAGCCAGCACAGCAGCCAGCACAGCAACCGAAGCCAGCACAGCAGCCACAGCCAGCACCACAGTTACAGCAAACACCTTATGTGTGCCAGGCACAGCTGGAGCCCCCAAGCCACCCGCAGCCACAAGCATCACAGCCGCAGCAAGTTGGCCATTCCCAAGTGCCAACGTCACAGGTGGCACAGGCATCTGCTGCTAAAGATGTTTGTTTACTTTGCCAGAAAGGCAGTCCTCCAGTCCTCAGGACCTGGCTAAGGTGCAAACTCTATTTTCATCACATGTGCCAAAATGCAGATGAAGACAGGCTGAAGCTGTGCAATAAGTGTTTTAATAGTTCTACTTAGAATACGGGAAAACATTTTCTTTGCCCACTTGATAACGTTGTAATTTGTATGTACATTGGCACGTGGTCAGCTCTAACTTGACAATAGTACAACTTGCTTTGTATTTATTAAATTCCATTGTTTGAATGCCTTTCAAACATTGAATTTGCTTACTAGATACGGGAGCATGTGTGAAGAATAGAAGTTTCGTAATGTACCAATATTGCTTGCATAGCTGGTGCTAGGGAGGATCCACTCAACATGAAACTGGGTAGGGGACCACACAACAAAATCACAATACTTCGCCTTGCAGACAAATAGCTGCACTTGTACTTGATGATAGTAGCGATGGCTTTTTTCATGAAGCCCTCTCCTCAAACGGACAATCCCGGCAGACATAGGGACATTTGACCTCAACAATGGCATTGGTTAGAGACTCCACAACACCATCTGGTGATGCCCCCAGCCAAGGTTCGTCAGCGCAGATGACAAATCCGGAAGGCTGGACGGACACAGCAGTGCCTGTTACTGACGACATTGTTGCAGCGTACCTGAATACAGCAAAAAAATGCATTATTAGAACAAGCATGCAACACGATGCAAAAAGTGACTCATACTTCTGTGTTGCTCGTTGAAATTCAGTCACTTCACTCCAGTACGCGCGTGGCGTTCCGCAGCCGTAAACCTGCGAACACGGGCTGCGAAATGATGCAAGGCGTAAACTTGAGTGACGCGACTGGATTTCATTGAGCAGCACTGTACATGAAATAATTTGCGGAACACACATTTTAATTTTATTCACAAACAATAGATGGATCTGCTTTATATATTTTGCAGACACACGAATATCCCAAATATGTTAGAAGCAGTAACATTACCTGGACAGAGCATCAGACTCGTGTGCTTTCCCATATGCAGTAGCCGCTGTGCTGAAGGTTGATGTGGTGTAGGTCAACCTTCGCAGCAATAGAGCATGGTCAATATGAGGCTTACGACGCACAATATCCTTAGTGTCGGAAGACGTTATCCGCATCCCTCGTTCATGCCTCCACGACGATGAGGGTGGCATGGTAAATGCGGTCACGGTCGCTGGCAGTTATCACGACATGACGCTCATACCAGTCCGACTCTAGATATTCCTGTACCCACTCACAGTCACAGGGAACTGGTGTTGATGGTACCACACTTGATTGCCATTCCTCTAGCCATTCACAATCACTGGGAACTGGATGGACTGGAGTGGCTTGTCATCCATTGCTCTTGCTGCTGCTTCTGACGCACCAAGCGGGCCTCCTTTGCTGACTGAGCCTCCCTCCACTCACTCTGTTTAGCCTTCTTCTTATCCAGCTGCTCCTCTCTGGCTTTCGCTATGTGAAAGTCATCACTGGCTACTAGAAAGAGTCCAGTCTGATGAAGAGAGCTGGAGGAGTCTACAATACACGCAAGTGTGGAGCAAAGAAAACGAAAATGGTACGCAGGATACTGGATTTCTGAGTTGAAGTATGGAATCAAGCAAGAGTACGAGTGTGAGATCGCCTAATCAAAGCCCGCCGAGCGAAGCGCGAAGGGCTGTGATGTAGGCTGATCGAACACGACTACGAGTGTTTTGATTGCATTTTGACATGCACCCACGCTTGAAACTCATATCGGACTTGTAAATACTTCGCGAAGGGCTGTGATTGGCTGATAGAACATGAACACGACTGTTTTGATTGGATTTGATTGGATTTCTGACAAGAACGCGCACTTCCATCTTCCTATCGCGCTTGAAAGCACGACTCTCACAGTCTCTCAGCCTTCTCGAGCCCGAGTCGAGTAAAAAAAAAAGCGAGCTTGATCAGTGAATCAAAGCCCTAGTGGAGCGGGCTTTGATCGTAAAATCTAAGGCCGCCTAGGCGGGCTTTGATGGGAAAATCAAAGTCCGCTCCACTAAATATGGAGTTCTACTTCTTGTAGCGTGCTTTGATCGCCTCATCTAGGCCCTGCTAGGTGCAATGCGATTGGTCATCTCCGTGCCTACAGTCTTGTGACATGTCAGAACAAGTTGTCAAGTAACGTGATGGTGTTCAGCTATTGAATCACAGTTCCTGCAAGCCCAGGTCTCTAACATGCTCGACCGTGTCACACGTGCCTGTGTGTGTGTGTGTGTGTTGCATCCTGTCTCCAACAGGCAACACGCCCAGCCGCGCGTATTCATTGTAAACTGTCGTACATCTCGATCGCCTGCTCCATCACGTTGTGCAATGCTGGCGGAAGCTAAGAAAAGTGGTAGAAAAGTGCTTTGTTTTCCCAAAATGCAAATAAGACAACTCAAACCAAGAAAGCTGTAGTTGTGAGAGGGAGAGAGAAAAGAGAAATAGAGAGTTTTTATGATGGAGGAAGCCGCAAGCGCTGCAAGCGCCAGCACGCCCGTTCAACAGCCGCAGCAGGCATCCCCTGCATCCCATCCGTCATCAATGTCACCGCATGGCTCTCTGCTGTCAGCTACACCACCTACGTCGCATTCGCCATCCACACCGAATTGCGATCGCAGATCAGTTGGATATGTAAACGCAAACCCCAGACTTATTGTATCGGCATCGTCGTCGCCATGGTCACCATTACCATCACCACCACTACCACCCAGACGTGCCCTACCACCACCACCACCACCACCACGCTCTCCCGTCTCACCAACTCCACCAACTCCAACACCACCCTCTATCACCTCATCGCCACCCCTCCTGCCATGTCCGCCACCTCCATCACTGGCAGCAGCAGCAGCAGCAAGCCCCATGTCGGAATCATCCGTTCAGGTGCATTGCATGCCTGAAACTGAGTTGTACGAATTGCAGAAGGCGGTGTGATCGTGGGCAAAAATGATGCACCACAGGATGCATCCTAATCACCTTGGCGTTCATCAAGTTGGCGATCATCAATGCTACATGAATTAAGGTGATGCTGCTGTAACTCTGTGTGGGTGCGTGGATGTGTGGAGCTTTATTGCTAGTGATAGTGTGCTTTGCCCGTATAAGTGGCTATGAACAATAACAATACTCTGTGTGTGTGTGCGTATCTTTAGCTCTCACTCTGTAGAGACATTGATAATAGGATACAGTGTACCGCATCCTTCATAATAGTGAACTCTACAAGCCACACAGACCAGCAACACTAAAAATGCGTTCAAGTACATGAAGTACACAAGGCGAAATCTTTCTTACTGGAAAACAGTTGGTTGAGTGACGACGACACATTGCCACGCTGCGCTGCTGCTCTAAGGTCGTTGCAAACGTTCTTCCTCTTACGCTTGGCGGCGCCAGTGTCCTGTCGGAATGCTGCATGGGTTCCGACTTCTTCGCATGCGGCTGGTTCCAGGCTTGCAGTTTATCCGTGCAAGTGACCGAGTAAAGTCGATTAAGGCGTAGAATAGGACAGCAAGGTTGTTGCAAGACCCGTGGGGACCTTTGCCAGCGGGACACGAACACTCAGCATGGGTGACACGCTCCACGGTATGGCAGTCAGTGCCACTGCCGCCCTTGGTCTGCACAGACAGACGGAGCTGATACGCCTTCAATGTACGCATTTCGGGCTCACAGCGAGCCTTATAGTGGACACTATTGCTGGATGACGCAACCTCTATTTTCTGCACGTATCTTCTCTCATAAAGTCTTGATGTTTTGTTGTTCGTGGCAGAAATGGCTTTGAAATTGCTGGCTGACTTGCCATCTCCAGCGACAGCATCCAGGAAGTGCTGCAGCATAGTTTGCACACTGACCTCTGCGCACAGGAGGCGACCAGCTACAAGTTTTTTCCACACAAGAGTTGGGGCTTGCTGGTCGTCCACTCCAGCGGATGACACATGCACGACACTGCTCGTAGCTTGGTGAGGCGAAGCTGCAACTGCGCTGGATTCAGCCGTCAACGCAGGTTCGGATCTACACAGAAACAAATCATGACAGAGCTGGATTAAAGTTGGAGCGTTCAGAAAGACATCGAAGTTTATTTGCATTGCCCTTTCTGATAGCCGAAGCCAGAAATATTATTTCAAACTAGTTTCAAAACAAGACCAGTGCATTTCTCGGCTGCTAGAAGGAAGCAGTCACTTACCGAGGTAAAGAGTCACAGCCTGGGGTAGATATGGCACTGGTACTCTGATGAGCAATGACCCTGAGCGAAAAGCAATAAAGGCAAAGCGAGAAACATCGCCTTCCTGTTGTTCCCACGCTACACGAACAATCGATTTTTTTCTCACCTCTCCAAAAGCGCGTCCTTCTTTCCTGATCTTTTCAGCTTGTTCCGAACGCAGTAATCGTGGAGAACGTTGCACGTCCAGAGACGGGGATTACGAGATGATGGTGTATCAATTTTTACTGGTAAGAGTTTGCTATGCATGCGACTGGAGTAAGGCTAGGCGTAGTGCATGGTAAGGTGGGAGTTGGTGAGGTGGGAGTTGGTTGGGTGGGAGTTGTAGGGGCAGGAGGTGGGGAATTCGATTTTTAAGGGCTGGGAAGAAGTCGTCTACCGGACTGCTGCTATAAAGGTGCTCTACACCTGATGGAGATATAACGAGAACTAGCACTTTGGCGTGTGTAGCTTCATGAAGCTCCATACCCTGCGTCAACACAAAGATGCAAACACAGGAAACTTATCAGGTGAAAGTTCGCAATTAACAACAAGGTAGAGGATAGAGGAAACTTCCCGCTCGAATCAAGCCATTTTTACGTTTGCTGAGGCAGCTCAGGAGGTTCACTTTGTCGGCGATATACCCAGTTATTTTTCTCTTACGAGTTGACGGGAATGAGGAGTTGAGTGACATTGTACAAAAACGGAAGTGAAACAAAGACTGGACGAAAGGAAAGGAAAGGAGTTTTTTTTTAGTTCATTTTCTCTTTTGCTATGACCACCGCGTACTGTGAGACAGGGTCCAGCTCCGCCCTCGCGTTATATTTCTCCTTCTGACGTAATGTTTTCATCACGTTGGCACCGTACATACACATTGTCCTAACTAGGCGATTTCCAGGACTGGTGTCCCCTCAGTCATTTTGGCGGGAGTTTGATGAATACGTACCATTCTCTGTACCCAGCAATGAAAGCAGCGATGCTGAGGTCAGTGAAGACCACCACCAACCCACCGCGGTGTCACGGCTGTTCAGCTGCGGCCATCTATCAAAATGGCGTCGAAATCACCGGAAAATTGCAAATTTGCACATTGCACGTTCGATTTACTAACTTGGTGTGTTTTGAGGTGGATCCTTTTTCGAATCAAGTAGAATCAACTAGGTAACCCTATGTAAATTGGGTTTGTTAGACCTGACCAAACGCGATGATAAAAGCTACAATATAAAAATTGTAACAGAACTGAGGAGGACGAAGAAGAGCAGGACTTTGTCACTATGGAGTAAGCTAGCCGAAAGAGAAGGATTATAGTGGATGCCGTTTTCCTCCATGCCTTAGCTACGGCCACGGAGTGGCCTGGACATGCGCAGCGTTCTTGATAGGCGTTGCGATTGCTTCGACCCCGTTTCATGGGCGCAGGAACGCTTCAAACTAATCATTGAATTCCGCATGGATGCTCTCTGAGCCTTGCTCAACTAGCAAGCCAAGGCCACATGGAGTAGGGTTACAGCTGACACGGCGTGCATCTCTAAAAGGTGCAGATTAGGGGTAAGATGGCATTTGTTTCTCTTCACGATCTCGTCTTGAACGAGCTCATGAAATGTTCGATGTTGCTCAGTGCTATTAAAGCCATCATCATTAAAGAGGAACTCCACAAAAAACTTGAAAATTTGATGACCTGTAGAGTTTCGGGCGCTGATTCGATTGGTCTTGGTCCGAAGCCTCTACGACGAAGCGTTCTTGAGATATTTCACTTTGAAATTGCAAAAACAGGGGCCGCTCCCTGACGTCATGCGGCCATTTGGCTACGTCATCACGGGCTGCCTACGTCATTGTGGCATAGTGGTTTCCTTTCGCCAATCTACAAGCACTAATTTTAGTTGGTATTTTAAGGGAAGATGAGCGATTCCGAACAATCCTCTGTCCTCAGCAATGAACGCAGCGATGCTGAGGCCAGTGAAGGCGACCAACAGCCCACCGCCGCGTATGGTTGGGGCAGGGAGCCCAGATACCCTGCTGAGGAGCTGCCATCGCGTGTAACAAATATTGAGGAAGAAGATGCTTCAGCAGCTGCGTCCGACAGAAGACGAGTAGCTTGGTCACCAAAATCTCGATTCGTTTGGGACTCCCGACTGGTGCGAGCGTAGACAAACGTGTATAGCCAAGCCCAGCCCGCGGGAATGATTTTGCTGGTAGGATGCTGCCGTCGCTGTCGAGAAGACGGCCCAAGGTTTCTTGCGTAGCGGACCTCGCAGACTACGAGATCGTATCCTTGCAATAGGCTGTGCCCACCACTGCTCTTCGACGTTATCTCGACATGCAGAAGCCGCCAATGCCAGTGACAGAAGAGTCTGACATTAGGTAAGCCTCAATTAGTTTGCCTTGACTTGTCTTGTGAGGATCGCGTGTCAACCTTATACACTTATTTTTTGGGGGAAATTTATTGTTGTCAGGCGCACTATAGACAGTAGGCGTCGCACAAGAAAGACATTGTACTGGTAGTTATCACAAGTTTCATGCATGACACAAACAAATTTCTCTTTGCTCCGAGTATGTCTTGACTTATCTTGTGAGGATCGATGCGCGTAATGTTTTGTGTGTAACTTATTGTTGTCAGGCATCGCACGAACAGCGTTGTACTATAGTGCTAGTACTAGTATTTATCACAAGTTTTCATGCATGACTCAAACACATTTTCCTTTGTCATTTTCCCTTGGATTGGTACAAGATCTGCAAAGTATGGTAGTGTTCTGTTGGTGAAGAGAGCACTGCACACAGTTTATGAGCATGATGGGTGCATTTGATCACACCCGAAACCATACTTTATCGTTTCAAGTGATAGACTTTGTCAATAAACTTGTTCTCTAGTATACCATGTCATGCAACGCACAAGCGCGAGGTCAATAAAGCGTACACCAAAATAATGCACAAAGCCATCTGTACTTCTGACCAAGACATCTCTGTACCAGTAGGTAATCGAACGCGTCTTAATCAGTATTCATCCCCCAGATCATTGGAATTCAATTTGAAATCAGCAATTATGCGAAATTTTACAAGACCCTCCATCTTGACACTAAATTAGTATGGCACGGGCACTGAAAGTGCATGTAGGTACCGGTAGGTGCAATACAGCGCAGATGTAGAGTAAATGAGTATTTGACTATAATAATTATTACGGTACACGTGGTATGTGTACAAGCACTCATCATACACATTCCATATGACATTCTGTGTTTGTGTAGATCTCTACGCTATGCGGCACACAGGCAGTACACAGTATGTACACGGCAAATTGGGCAAGCACGTTCTTTGTCGTCTTCCAGCCTGCGTTGTGAATACCCTCAGGCAAAGAAATCCAAATCCAGGAACATCGATGGTGCCATTTGCAACCGCTACCACCTCACACATGAGCTTGTCAACATACTCATAGCTCTTTCTATCGTATAATTATCTATTTGGCCACATAGTTTTCTTTATGCTTTGAGAACTGGACTTTATACCTTCTTATCGTGGTCTTTTTTGGTTGTGCTGTGGCGACGGTTGACATTGACGTCGCCAATAGCTGCGAGATGTGCGTGTCTAATTATCCCCAGAATTGAGAAACGAATGCGTTTGAGAATGTACTTTGGTACGACACTGTGATATACCTGCGTGGCACAAAGAATGTGGAGAAAACACACT